TAGTAGCATATAGGTTTCTGGCCTACTATTTATTCACACATGGCTTCCTCTTTGTCCCCGGATGCCTCTGACGCGAAACCATACTCATTAGGAAGGACTGACACAATATTACAATGAATAATCAACCATCTTCTAAGCTATCTTCAAATTTGTTAGATAGTTCATTGTCCATGTTGTCATCACCAGGATTTTCAAATTTTGTTGGCGGAACACTCACAACCGGAATCAATAATCTCTCTTTTGCTGTTCAACGGTGCACTTCCTTTTGAATTCTCTCACCCTTTGATGGAGCAACTTTTAATGCTGCTTCTCTTGCAGCTTTTTTGTTTCTTTGGAACCTTCTCCATTGAGTCTTTGTCATAGGATTTTTCCCTTTGTATGTGGGAGGAACATGATACTTCTTTAAAGTGATCCCAGCTTCAGCAAATTGGGAAGAACTGGATCCTTTCTCCATTATTTCCCACTTATGACTCGAACCTGAACCTTTCTTTACTACTTTTTAATTTTGATTTTCCCCCCTTGGATAAAAAGGACGAACCCAGTTATTGTTGGGAACATCAGTTGGTGGCACAAAGGTCCTTTGATACGGAAATCTAGGTTTCCCTTGGGGAATTTGGACATTGTACGGTCCCTTTGCATGGTTGAACATCACCTTTAGATTCTTCGCTGGAGGGCGTTTCTTCTTCGACGCCTCAATTTTCTTTGCAGCATTTTTCGTCATAGACTACGTTACAATTTAGGCATAACATAGACCTGGAATTACCCAGCTTGCACCTATTCAAAAAATCCACCAACTCCTCTTCAGGTTTAGGAAAAACAACCTTCATTAATTCAGCAATTGTTTCTTTAGACAACTCCTCATTCATAGTTTCACAATCCATTTTTTCCTTGTCGCCTTGATTACCTTCAAGCTCTTCAGCAATATTAACTACCATCACTTCTTGTGGCTTATACAAATTTCCATTGTCACTTTTGAGACCTTCAGTAGTCTCGACTGTTACAGCTACCATTGGATCAGTGGTCAAAGATTATTCATTCTCAAAACCATCAGTGATGTTGATTGTAAATGCTACGAGTGTGTCGAGAATATGTGCATGTTCGCCTTCAAGACCATTAGTAGTCTCAATGATCAACACTTCCAATGGTTCGACAAAGTGTGCATCAACAACATGTAAATGATCTGAGTCAACCTTCTTTTTGGTTTTTCACCAAATTTCAATCGACCATCTTTCAGAGCCTTCTGGATCAAATCCTTGAAAAGAAAGCATTGAGAAGTATTATGACCCAAAAATTATGATACTTGCATAAACCTGTTTTTTTGTTTCTGCTCTAATGGTGGATTTTTACTGCCCGGAGGCACTATAATCTAACCATCTGAAACTAAAAAATCAAATATTTCATCATATTTTGACACATCAAAAGTATATGTTTTAGTACTAAATATATCATTTTTTGGTTCTTCAACCGTCTTTCATTTTGACGGTCTTATAGGTTTACATGCATACAGAGGTCTGGCTTTTAATTCAGCCACATTAACTTCTCCTTCTTCCAAGTATTCATTCTCAGACTCTATGCAATAATCTTTTGTGTCTACATAGGCCACTTTACCTTTTATATGATCCTTTGACACCCTAGCTTTCTCTGTTTTCTAACGTTCGACATATCGAACCTTATCAGCTAGCTGAGACATGTCTGTAATAGATTGAGGATCAAACTTTTTCCTAATTGAATAATCTAAACCCCCAGTTGCCATTTCGACCAACTCATGTTCAAGAACTCTAGTGAAGCATCTATACTTTAGGACCATAAACCTATTCAAATAATATTCCATTGACTCAGACAACCTCCTCTTTATTGAGGATAACTCTTTCAAACTTATCTTAGGCTGACCAGCATAAAATTTCTCATGAAATATACCCTCAAGTTGTTCCCAAGTGCGTAAGGAATTTGGAGTCAATGTCGTAAACCAAGTAAAAGCATTTTTGGTCAATGAATTAAGAAAATATCTTAATTTTAAACCCTTATCGTTAGCGAGATCACTAGCTTCTGTTTTGTACCTAACAATGTGTTCAATGGTCGACTCATTGGCATCACCAATAAACTTGGTAAATTTAGGTACCTTACATCCCCAAGGTAATTCTGCCTGTCCAATGTAATCAGGTAATGGAGAAGAGTAATTGGGCCTCTGAAGGCCAACATTTACCTGAGATCATGTTAATACTTCTTCTACTACATTTACTATGTTGTTATGCCCAACAATGGTATTTTTTAACACTTGATTAACATCTTGGTTTCACCTAACTATGACCGGCCTAGGTTCATATTGTTTAATGAATTCAACCTCTTCATAAGTGGGTGCTTCCACTCTTCTAGGTCCAAGGACGCTCATTGTTGCCCACTCTAGTTCTTCAAAAAATCTTAACGGCATGTGGCACATTTGAGTTGGTTGGACTCTGAATGAGTCGATCAATCTACTTAATTGGTCAACTACATGATTGAGGGAAACTCCCATTTGTTGAGTTAAGACATTTACTAACTCTAAATTACTCTCATTCATCTTCTCCCTTAAAGCCATAACAAAAGTAGTATTCAAAGATTATGTCAACTAAGGGATATAACTAACACCACCTGGTCGACCACTTGGGACATAAATGCCTTGGTTTCTAGTGGCCACTGTGTTTGCTGTATATGTGGTCGGGTTCGACTACAACCCAACAATCATAGAATAAGGCATTCCATATTGGTAAGGGACAAATGGTGACCCTAGACCCCTTGGAAAGAGTGGTCGGTTTGAGTCAAATAGTGATATCACATGCCTAGGTTCTGTCATTGTGACTGTTGTCACTGAACCATGAACAACGGTCGATCTCACAGGAGATAAAATTGTCGCTCTTTGAGTTGTAGTACTCACTGGTATGACGTCTACATTTTATGTAGAAATCTGCATATGTGCATTGTTTGTGTCAGAGCGTGGCATTCTAGACTTGGACAAAAGTTTACCACTTCTTAAATTCATACAAACACAAACTAACTATAAGAAAATTTGTAAAATCACCCACATAATACAGAATTATTAGCATTGTCTCACTCGGTGTGCCAATTTGTTTACCTCTGGTTTTGGAAAACAACACTGGTCTCTTAACAAAAAGTTTAATGGTGAGATCGACCAGGGAATCTTAGTACAATGCTTCAGTTTTTGAGTGTTTTCACAAAGTATATTCAAAAGGGTTCGTTCGACTAAGGCGAAACGAATTTAAAAGCAATAAAGCAGGACTTGTAAAATAAAACAAAATATGTTTTAAACTATAAAAATAGATGACATAATATAAAAATAATTGAAAATGGGTTGATTAAAATGTACATTGCCCTAGCTTGACTCATTTCACTGGTTCGCTTGGATACTCTGAGCGACTAGCGTGTAGGAATGTGAAAGTTTGAACCACTGACACAATGCACTAAGTGTTTTATTTATAATACACAAAAATAACTACTTTTTGGTGGGTTTCTCTTCTTTATAAGCCACATGTCTCTTGAAACTTCCCTCCATGAACCCACGTTCTCAATATCTACTATAGAATCCATGCTCTCCATCCATAACACTTTACTTTGCTAGTTATACACTCTTTGGGCTTTTTAATAGTCTTGGGCCCAATCCATTCCTCATGAGGCCTCTTTTCTGGTGGAATGCATCCACAAGCCCAATTGACTATTTGTGAAATATCTCCCGGTCGAATGCTTATGTAGTCGACTTCCTATAATTCAAAGTTCTCAAAGAACCTTTTTGGCTTTTGGTTGGATTTTAACCCTTTGTGAAAATCCTATCCAACACCTACTATCTTGGAAAAGATGGATGAGATAGTTGTTGTGATCTTTCAAGATGGAAATAATACTAAGAATGCCAAGAATCTGCACAACTATCTTGGAGTATGGTTTAGAATCATTCTGGGATGCGTGCATCACAAACCATCAACCAACTCTTTTGATTATATTAACACTGATCAAAAGTATGTGTTGTTCTACATTGCTTCTAGAGTCAAACAGAATCTGCCTTAAATACTCTTCAATTATTTGACAGAATTGGTCAAACAAACCAGAGATGGTGGTGCCAAACTCAGAAAGTGGATTCCTATGGGAATAGCCATTTTCGATAATCTCATAGAGAGCAAGCTTTTTAATACTCTGGATCTTCCTAAGAAGTTAGTCCCTGATATTGGGAAAAACCTCGATGGAAAGAATTTCAAGAACATGACTTTGATTTCTGATGTAACTAACATTCCAGAGGCTCTAAATAGGAATGCAATTTCTTCCAGAAGAATAGCTCTTGTTGACTATCCTGACTTCAACAAAATTGACTCTCTAGAAAGCCCTAATTCAGGTCACATACCTGCAGTTGTTAATCAAGAAAACAGTTAAGCTGCTTCCTCTGAGCCTCTTGTCAAAATAAAGAGGAAAGCTTCTAATAAGGTTGGTGATGGATCTTCTGGAGTTGCTAAGTATCAAGCTAACGAGGCTAAGACTTCAGTTTATGCAAGAAGACCTCATAAACCATTTTTGAAGTCGAAGCTTCTTCTTCTCACAATCTCGTACCAAGTAAATCCTCTGATGAGACTTATTTGCCTTTATTTCAGGATGTTAATGATAATTCATCTTTATCTACTCCTTCTCATCCTACACCTTTACCACCTCATCTTCATGCTACTTTTGTAGTCCCCCCTTACTTCAACATACACAAACTACTCCTTATGAAATCATTACACTTGAACCATCCAACACACAAACTTTTGGGACTCAACCACCTATTTCTGAAACTCATCAACCATCAAATACCCAACCTTCCATAACCACAATACTTGAGCCTTAACCTCAACCATAAATTCTTGAACCACTTTTATCCCAAATCTAATAACCACTTAACCAACCACCACTCATTGAATATCTACCATTAACTCCCATTTATAATTCCTTTAGAATTAATATCCTTGAAATTAATTATTTCCCAAATGAACCTCAATCATCATAACACCCAGCCAATGTCATTAGTGTCCCAGTCATTGACACTGAGATGGAGTATTTCTTGTCCCATTCCCCATTCTGTTTATTCTTTAGGAAAAGTTGTCAATCTATCATCTGATTATAAAGATGAGATTCTTGCTGAACCTGAAGTAAACCAACCTAATCCTTCTGACTTGGACTTCCATAGAACCAATATACTTCCACCACTAAGACCTCCTATTGATGAATTATTGATACAGTTTGAAAGTGAAACAAATGAACGTTTTCACTCTTCGACGCAAGTTTGCACATATTGTGTAAATCTGTTGAGAGTGGTGCACTCTGAAATGACTTCATAAGGTGGATTAATTCTTGCTCTCGGGAATTAAAGGAAATATGTTTCAAGGATGCTCAGTGAAATTTTCACGATAGAATTGTTGGTGTCATGAATCCTATTCTGCAGAAGAGTGAACAAGTTCTTTGCATGCTCGTGTATCTGATGGGACTACGGATGAACCTAAGCAAGAAGTTCCTCATTAAGATATTCATATTGAAGAAACTTCTACTTCTGAATAGAAGATTTTTTCTCCAACTATTGTTGCTTCTGGACCTTCTACCTCTATGGTTGTCAAATCTTCTAAGATCATGACTAGTTCTGGTATTAAGAAGTCTTATGTGTCTACCTATAAATAAATTCCTCATGTGATAATGAAGACTTTGGAAGAGATCAAGAAAGAGAATGTTGTGGTCAGAACTCGTTTGGAAAAGCAAGATGAGATGTTCAAAGCTCAAGCAGAAACCAAAATCAAGTTGGAATTTATGATGTCAACCATTCTGTCAAAGCTTTCACAACCACCACCCACTTTTTTTTTACCTTTTAGTTTAGTTTTCTGGTTTTAATCTTCTGGAACTGTATCTTTATCTTCATAAATGAAGTACTTATTTTGGTTTATCTCTTTAAAAGTCTTTTTTGATTGATGACAAAGGAAGAGAAGTGTAGATGATTTTGATATACCTATTTTCCTTACTTATCACATACATGTTTCTAATATATTATGCCTCTAACATTGTTTGACTGATCGGGAACTCTGAAAAAGTTCACTCAACATTTCTAATCAGGAGATTCAGATGGTCATTAAACAGGGATTAAAAACTCTGAAGATATAGCATGTTCTGATAATCAGAACTTGTTAACCATACCTTTGTTAAAAGGAAATCCAACTAGACTCTAATGGAAAATTATGCTCTGAGAATACAAACCATACATTTCTAATCAGACTCTCATAGCATTTTAAGCAGGAAAGTATTCCTTTCATGATGATTAAAGTGTTTTATGTATTAAAATTATTTTATAAGTCTTGAACTCAGGGGGAGCCTCTGAACAAGCTGAGATAATTTCTTATAATACAAAACTCAGGGGGAGCTTAATAGCTTACTCTAATATGCTTTATGTGATTAAACCTAGTAAAAATTGTTCATCAAAATACATGGTTTTGTCATCATCAAAAAGGGGGAGATTGTAATAATAAGAGTTGGTTCTGCATCTAGCCTTTAGTTTTGATGATAAAAATACATTGTTTCATAGAGAACAATTTTGTACACTAATGGTTTTTGTCTAGTGTGTAGATGAATGATAACATGTTTTGACTTTAAAGAATTGACGTGTGACGTTATCAGGTTATGAACTTAACACACTCTAACTCTGAGAAGAAACAAAGTGCATTTTACAAGGAATAGTCAAGTTCTAGAATACTCTTTGACAACGCTTCTGATATAATGCTCATCAAATAGCTTATGATTATGACTCTAATAAACAAGCTTCTAAAGTGTTTTCAAGCTCTGATATTCTGCGCTCTACAAGCTCTGAAGACTCTAAAGACAAAGTTCTGAATTCTGTGAAGAACAAGTTCTGAAGATTCTGAAGACAATTTCTGAAGACTTCTGAAGACCAAGGTTCTGAAGACTTATGAAGAACAAGGTTCTAAAGAATCTCTTACAACTCTTGATCCTTATAAGCGTGCTTCATAAACACACATTCTGAATCCTCTGAAGATTAGAAGATAAGATCAAAAGGTTTTACGTGAGAAAATAGTACACAGTACAAGATCAAATATTTCTTCCACTACACTGATTTTGTGGAGAAAGGATTATACTATTATACCAATTTGTCTCCCACTCGTGCTGACAATTATGCAAGGATACATCTATGCATTTGTGGAATTCCATTTTTAACCTTCAACAAATCTTTCTTTGCCTATATAAAGAAGAAAACTTGAAGAATGGAACAGTACAATTTTACACAACGAATTTTTGAAAACATTTTCTCAAGATCTTGAACGTAAATATTACAAATTCAGTGAAATAAGAAAAGCATCAAGCAAGTAACTTTTTTTCATACACTTGCTCTTAAACAGTTTTGTGTCATTCATTGTATTTCATTTTGTGTAATCTTCTTTATTGAAGCATCTTTGTAAACACACCATTGTATCTCAACTTTTGAGTTGTTATTCCTTGAGAGACTAGGGTATAGCTAGAATTTCTCAAGACAACATTGTCATTTAGTCTTTGAAGTTGTAATCAGTTTAATTATAGTGGATTAAGTCTTTGGGAGAAGGCGAAATCACCTTGGCGGGTGAAATGGAGTTAGCTCTGTTAACAATGAACCGGGATAAAAATATTGTGTTAATTATTTTTAATCTAAGTTCTTTGTTTCTTGTCTTGGGTAGCGAAAAAGTTTCATTCTAGAAACCCAAATCAAACCCCCATTTATTGTGTTTTCCTTACCTTTAAGTAAGTTGCGACTGATCATTTGATCATTTTTGGGAGATTGTGCCTGATGATTTCATGAAGAGAATTCTATTTAATTGAGGGAAAAATCGGATGACATACTTTCTTCGTGACTATCCCTCATCCAGCTATTGAGCCTTATCTATCGAGCCTTGTCTATTAGGTCATTCCAGAACAAATATAACAAAATAGCTTTGATTACAAAAAAAACTAATAAAAGAAGATAAAATTTTATCACATTTTAATAGTATAAGCACACAACAAAAATAAATAAAACATAATAAACCTTGCGTTTAGAGAAATATTTTATTTTTCCTATCATTATTTTAATTTTACTAGTAGTTTTCAAGGGGGTTTAAACTTCCTGACAAAAATGATTTGAATTTCATTTTGCATTCATTTTTCCAGGGTTCTAGATCCATTAATATATGAATATCAACTTCCAAATAAATTTACAAAATTAACCTTAAACCCTATATTTTCTAATGTGAGGGGAGGCGCCGCTTTTCATCCATTCTCTCTCAGAATTTATTTCTCACAAAAACAAAACTCCTTCATCGAATACCCTCCAAAAATACGCGATCAAAAACAAAGATACCCAATGGGAACCAAACGTCAATGCAAGCTGATGAAACCTCGCTTGAATGCAATGTCACATGATAAAGCACCAAATGAAATCCTGAAGAATGATGGCGTGTCTACTGATATTCAGGTTGAAAGGGGGGAGAAAATCTCATCTGAAGACGTTGATCGTAGATCCAATACTAATAAGATCAATCAGATTTTTCGACCAAAGAAGATGAAGAAATATAGATCTCTTGCTGATATCTACAGGTTGACAAAACCCATTGATACTGAAAATTAAGGGGCAAAGGTGAGAGCTTGATCTATACTTTCAACAACTATCTCGAACTAGTTTTATAAAATCTTGGAAGCATGAGAGGTTAATTATTCGTCAATAATAAATGATAAACAATTGGGTTGTACCATATTTTGATATCATCTAATTTAAATATATGACTATATGCGTGTGGATTGTTGATTGAATTTGAAAGAAATCTTTCAATTCTCTTTTCACTTTATTATTTTCATTTGCGTATAATATTTGATTGATGATCTTGCTCAAAACAAAAATTGTCAATGAGATGGATCTTACTCTAGAAATTTAATATTTTATAATAAAAATTAATAGAATACAATTTATGTGTGTATTCAATTAAAATTTGTTAGAATTGTATTCATTGTTTGGGGATTTTAATGGTATGTGTTGGTATAATACTTGTCTCTCATTTTGCATTGAAATTTCATACCATAAAGTATGAACATAAACACTTCACCTCTATGTTTTAACATGTATGCTTAACTAATTTTATATATTTTATATTTTATATTCAATATGCATATATTTGTTTATTATTTTGTTCTAACAATAGAAATAGTTTCTTACTCCAACATGTTATAATTAAGAAAAAAAAAGTGGGCATTAAAGTGTTGATATTACGATCATGGAAATTTTTATTTTTGAAAGATAAATATAATAAATATAATGTTATTATAGACATCATGTCAATATTTCTATGTGTGATAGGTATTTAATAGAGATGAACCTAATTCGTTAAGAGGTTATCTCAAATATAAAAAATCACATAAAGATGAATCTATTTTTGATTTCTATTGAGAAGAAATTCATTCGCATCTGATATAGATTCTATATTTTGTTTACTAAGAATGAATGAGTGTTTAGTATGTGTACAATTTTCTACTATAAATATTTAAGTATGAAGGATATCATCTAATTCTCTCTAATATTTTTCCAAGTCAAATTCTCATATTAGTATAAACTTTAATTGGCTAAAGGTGTACATCCTCCTCCATCAAGACTTATAACCAATTTGTTTAAAAATTGCTAAGCTATCATTTTTTATTTTAAGTCTATTATTTTATAGTAATTATTCATATAGTAGACATGTTTATTACTATCTATAGTATGAGTTATGAAAGTAGTTGCTTCAATTTTGTGTATGTTAATATTATTGTATGTAAACACAACTAGATACAAGATGTTTTTTCTTATCTTTTAGGAGAAATCTTTCATGAATTATCTCACAAGAAAATACTCTATTTAATCTAGGAAAGTGAATCCTTTTTTGTTTCATAAGTCCCCTCTTAAAGTTATCACTTCTCAATATAATGGGTCCTTCTTTTGTCATATAGATCCATTGGGTCATATTTTGGATTATAAAAATATCTTTCAGAATTTTGATTTTCTGATGTGTGATGTTGGACACGTCACCCTCATAAATTTATATCTTAGTTATACAATACAAGTGTTTTCGTTGCAAAATTGTTAGGAATTCTAGAGGGTTGAATATGTCTAAGGATATTATGAGGTGTTATAGTGTCAAATTTCAGCTAAATTCATCTAAGTGTTGCATTCTTTTTTATTTATGAAGATTATTTTATTGAAATAGTCTTAAATTGATTCCAAAGACATTTGGATACATCTTAGTGGTGGGTAATGTTTTCCAAAATATCCATAAGCAAAAATTATTACTCAATAATAATGTAGTTATGAATTATGATTAGTAAGGTAGTCAATATAATTTATTAATAATGTTTTTCATTCCATCTAAAAATAATAATAATAGTGTTAGGGAAGATATTCAAACCCATCTCACTTTATCTTCTCAACTTCTATCTTTTACCACTCAAACTTAAAATGATAATCATTCTTTTTTATTTTATACTTATAATTTTTCATTGACTCATTATTAAACCTCTTATTGATGTTCATATGATATTATATTAATAATTTAATTAGAAAAGAATCATTAGTCGTTATGTTCTAGGCTATAATTCTTTTATTCACTACAAGAAAATTAAGGTTTAATGATATAAAAATTGCGACAGTTATTTGATATATGTTATAACTTTAATATAAAGATGCGTATCACGAAGGTCTATATCTACCATTCTTATATTTTTTAAAAATTATTATTTGTGATAACGATTACCTCCATAGAAATAAATTCACGACGGTTTAAAAATCGTCCTAAATTATATGTCACGACAGTACATTAATTGTCGCCATCCAAACCAAGTAACACAAGTCCTAAAAGAGGGAATGACTTGGGTAACTTTACCGTTACCCATAATTTGAAACTTTAGTAAAAATATTTAATAAATAAATAATTAATATATATTATATTAATGTGATAAAATAATTTATTGATTAAAGTTACCAAAATTTTACAATTCAAAGTCACTGAAACTTGATCTCCTAAAAGGTGAGAACTCATCAAAGACCACGACAGTGATCAACCGTTGTGCCCAATTATCTAAAAAATTTCAAACCCATGACAGTGAACATACCGTCGCCCACAATTTCAAAACAGTTATAAAAGCCACGACAGTGACCTACCGATACCACCCCAAACCATTCATACGTGGATAAAGCTACGCGACACTGATTGCACCCGTCGTCATCCAGTATTTCATCTTTCGTGCCCAACTATATTTCGCTTTTTATGTTTTGTCTTCTCTTCTTTTTTCATAATCACTGTCAAAGGCGACTCACGCTCTTGGAGTTTCACCGTCAAATAATTTTCTCAGCCACTCACAATGTCACTGCGAATCACCGTCAAAACAACCTCTCTTGTTTTGAATTTTAACAGGTTTGTCTTCTCAAACTCTAAATCTCTTTTCAAACCCTAAATTTTTTTCTGCAAATATATGTGATGAATGAATTCTACTCTTCAAAAATCTCATGTTTTAAATGTTTCTTTGTGACTACTTTTCCTTTTATTTGTATTGTGGTTAATTGTCATGCACTTGGCTAACTTATTTTTTTTGTTCTAGACTTGTTATGAATGAAGATTATTTTCCGTTAAAAAAGAAGCACCTAATTAAAAATCCATATAAAAAGATTAAAAAGTGTGAAGTTTAAATAGAATATTTTATAGAGTAATGCATAGAGAGTATTTCTAGAAAGGAATTATTAGAAAAATTACCTTTCAACTACAAGAATATATGCAGAGAAAAGGAAGTCTCGTTATCATTTAAAAGTGTGAATCTTAGTGTTTTTCAAAAGCATTATGTGAACAGTTATTGAATAAAATCCATCTTGTAAATTATAAGAGTACTACAGCCTGGATAATAACTGCAAATGACAATCTAAAAACTTAAAGTTTTCCTTCCCGGACATAGGTACCAAGAAGAAGAAGTTATAAGAGATGGAGGGATACTAAGCAAGGACCAAATATAGGTGACATAGATAACAAAAAGAAACTATTAAGAGTAAGCAGTAGTGACATAGATATATTGAAGACATGAAAAAGTATTTGGTGATTTATAAGGTTTGAGTTTATAAGTGAAAATATATTCAATTTGTGATTTATAAGTTTCGAGTTTGAGTTCTGAGTTCTGAGTTTGATTTTATAAGTTTTGAGTTTGAGTTTGAATTTGATTTATAAGTTTTAAGTCCTGAGTTGAATTAATGCAGGAGCCACAATATACCTTGAATTAATGGAAAAAACCCAAATGAAATTACACACATGAGCTTCTTCACTGACAGGGAACAATACAAGAACAAAATAGAAGTCTAAGATTTAAGGTTAAGACTCTTAGGAGAATGTTGCTTTATTGTTAGAAAGTTAGATATGTTAATTGTACAAAACAATAAGTACATAGAATATAGTGGAGATAGACTTAAGGGAGTTACACTCAAGTGTACTAACGTGACATATATTACAAGTTACAAAACCTAATCATGACTCAAGGAGATCTCCTTCAACAAATTTCCACATTGAACCTGAATAAGACATTTCATATCTTGTTGTGTAGATTATGCAGTTAAAAGCATCGTGTTATGGATGACCTACAACAGTAAGGTGTATAGATTCTTTGAGAGTTGTTTCCATGATTTCACATCGTCCATTATGTGATATAGTCACACTATATATGTTGAGATCCTCCAAATTGTAGTCATATGTGTAACACCCCAATTCTACCCCAAGCAATTTAACGGAAAATCAGAAAATTTCTAAAATTATCAGGATGCTACACATTCAACAGAGACACATAAATTTGTCATGCTTTTAGAATAGATACATAACACTTAAAAAAAACGGAATGAACACAACTCATGAATAAGGTGTTCATAACATAAACCAACTTTGATTAATCACGCAGCGATTCATAATAATTCTCAATATGAGACATAACATCTTTTGAATCATAAAACAACACCAATACGATAATTCCTCAAATAACAACATAAGGTTTGATGAATAAACAACAAAATAAAACAAGCGTTCATTTCCCCCCGAGTGCTACGTATCAGAGCAAATGACACCAAACTCGAACTAACAACGCTAACGGTTACTCCTTTTTGTTACCTGCACGTTACCCAAAAAGGGTAATATTCAAACAGAAGGGGTGAGATATTGAATACTATAATAGAACATATGATAAATAATATATCAAAATCAGTTTATGTAAAATCACCACTTCATACCTAATCAACATAAAGCAATACCGTTCAACAAACACCTCAATTCAACTAATAACATTACCGTGCGTAAACAACACTTCAAATAAGCAACAAATCAACGACTCCAAATGCGACTCAACTATGCAAATGCATGTGGTACCATTGGAGAAGAACTCCCAACTTAGAAAGTGCCAGTTTACCGAGGCATAAGGCATAAGCCCTCAATATAAAATCTTTCCAATAAAGGCCAATGTGGTGAGCATTCGCTCCAACTTAGAACATGTCAATCCAGGACAACTTTAATGTTATGTTATGCTATGTGATGATATAAATAACCATAACTTGGCAACGCAACAACGACAACAACATAATAA